GGAGGGGGAGATCGGGGAGGGGGAGATCGTGTGGGGAGAGACCATGGGGTGGAGAGATCAGTGGGGGGAGAGATCAGGCAGGGGGAAACCAGGCAGGCAGACAGGCAGAGTTTAAAAAGAAAACGAAAATGAATGGTGAAATGTGAACGACCAAGGTAGAAAACTTCCATGATAAAAGTCTCACTATTCTACAAAAAATATTTTTATTGTTTTAATAAACTATGAACAGTTCTCATTCTAAATCTAATCATCTTGGGATTTTGTTTTAAATTTTACAAGTAAAGCTACTTGGCAGTGATTTCGGTGTGAGTGAGAATCTCCACACACCAGCAGGTCTGGGGCGAGCCCGAGCGTCTCCCTGTGGGCCTGGCATGCACAGCTGTGTGCACTCTGCCTCCTCCGCGAAGCCTTCCGCAGAAAGGGAGGCCGTGCCGTGAGAAGCTGCTACCGTGCTGGGCCTCCACCTGGGGGCGGCGGCAGAGGAAATCACCGACCGAAAGCATCAGTCCACGTTGGCTGTCGATTTTCCGTGGTTCATATTCCTTAGCTTTTCTCCTTCGTTTTCAGGATATATATTTCTCAGGGGAAAAAATCACTATTCTTATACGGCCTTACATGTTATGTAACCCTTGTATAGCATGACTGTGTGTCGGAGATGACCAACACCTAACGTTAAATACCCCCCGCCCATTGACGAGGCAGGTCAGCGTCTCTCTTACTTGGTCTTACCTACAGCTCCCATATACCCTGACCCACGGTGACAGCATCTAGAGGTGGGGACAGTTCATCGCAGTCCTCAGGGACCGTAAGGGGTCTGTTCAAATGAAAATGACCATGACTACGTGGGGACTGAATTTCTAACTGGTGGCCACCGATGTGCGCTCTGACCGGCGCTAGCTGATGGGCACGCCCGGGTGCCACAGAGCCATCCACGCCTGCAACTCGCGCAGCCACCTTCCCTATTGCGGCAAAGCAGGTGTTCTGGGTGCTTGTGCATCTTTGAGGAAAACTTTCTCAAACTGAGACAACAAAAATCTACAATTTTATTTTCCTCTGACCCTTATTACAAATAATATATTTAAAATAAATTTCAATTGAATAATAGATTGGAACTGTGTATCCTGCTTAAAATAAATATTTTAAATGAAAAAATAGTTCAAATTCATAAATAATTAAGAATCCTTTCACATTTTTTTGCTAACATCCTATAGAAAACACTTTCTTGGCATCAAATACACTAAAGATCTTCAAAAGTTCACGGAAAGTATATATGATGAAAAAAATACACTTAGATCTCAAAACGTTCTGTTCCAAAACACACTCGTGTTTAATTTTCTGCAGACTCGGTGAAGTGCCACAGACGATGAGGTGTCGTGTGAGAGGCCCGGGGGCTTGCCCTTCTCGCAAGGCAGTCAGCTAGCTGATGGGGTACCCGTGACCTAACGGGGGCGCGCCTCCCTCGGGCTAGCAGGAGGCAATGACACAGAACACGACTGCCCCTCAGCCTCAGTGAACGTCAGTAACGAAGCGTGAGCCGCAAACCTGTGCACAGGTGCACGAGGCGCTGCTCCCGCTGGCTCCCGCTGGCTCCCGCTGGCTCCCGCTGGCTCCCGCTGGCTCCCGGTGGCAGGAGCCATGCACTGCGGCCGGCGCTGGCCAGTTACCTGGGTGAGCACAGGAAGAGGATGCTGTCTGCCTCGGGCAGGTAGATCATCTGGCCCTTGAGCCGCAGGCAGCTGGTCTCGGCCCCTGTCAGCTCATCTTCACGCTCCAGCTTCTCCACGTCCAGGAGCCCCTCCTGGGAAGGCGAGAGCACCCTGTGGCAGGCGGGCCCCCCCGCCCG